GAGAAAAGGAATCTGATTAGCCCAGCATGGGTTGTGTGGCTTCCCAGGATACAGTCAGGTATACAGAACACACACTTGGGAACTTGCTGTGTCTGCTTTCAAGTTCAGCTGGAATCAGTTCTCAAAGAAGGGTTATGTCCCCCACAACACCCCCACATCCTCTACTGCATGTGGAATAACGAAGGATTAGCAGAGAGCTGGAATGGCCTGGGCAGCCGTCAGATCTGCACCTTGGCATTGACAAGGGGCAAAACTGGAGTGCAGGTCAAGAGGCTTGCCTCATGCTGCCTGTGTGGGCCGCAGTAAACAATTGTTTTTAAATCATTGACTGTAAAACAATTATTTCTGAGGAATTTAAGGAATCTTTAATAAAGAATTCTTTTCAGTTATAAATTTTGAGGTTAGTCGTGTCTTTGCTTGACTGAATAATTAGAAATGGATCTGATAAATTGTTATCTTACTACTAAAACAGCCTCATATTTGATCTTCCTCTAGTTTATTGTTTTCACCCAGATTTAAAAAAAAAAACTAGCAACAATAGCAGTGTGGTCTCAGGCCTTGCGGTGAAATCTGTACAAACTCTGGGCAATTAGAAACAGGCAAAGCAGGCCCTTGCTCCCGGCCTAAAAGGCACAGTTCAGCAGAGATGTTGTTGATCTCCACTGTGAAGCCTCAGCCATTGTTCTCATCAGCCTGGCACAGAATTAATCCCTTAAGAAGGGGATAAAAAAATGCCATTCAGCACAGCATAGTTTGTCATCGCATGCATAATGCAGACTTTCCAATTAGAATGCTACAATTTGGAAACTTTCTTCACAGACTGATGAGAGAGCAATTATTTTAAGAAGAGAAAACTTAGTCCACTGGGTTTGCCTGGAGTCACTTCTGACTCAAGCCGCAAAGACAAGGGTTTTGAAATCATATTCACTATTGAATTTTGTATCAAAACACCAGCAAGGAGAGCAATTAGTTGCTGTAAACTGAACCCCTGGTAATCAATGGTATGCAGCCAGCCAGAGCATTTATGAAAGATGTAAGCAAAATCACATCTGTTAATCAATTTTAAAAATCGCAGCACTTCACTGCTTTTAGGGAAACTCCACAATAAAAACAAGAGAAGATGAAGGAGACAACATTTTATATCACCAGGCATTTCTCGCAGTGCTTACTAGAGAGGTTTGCGGCGACAGCTGAATGCAGGCCCAGCCTACTTCAGGTCTTGGCCAATGGCTTCCCTCACTCAGCCTCACTGGAAATGGCTACTGCTGAGTGCGTGGAGGGAGGTGTGAATGTGGGCTTGTGGGGGGAGATATGTTTAAGGAGTGCATTTCTGTTAAGGTCATGAGTTGTGTCTGTCCTTGGTGAGCTCACTGGGCAAACATTCCAGCCAGATTACAAGAAAGAAATGTCCCTATGTTGCTGCAGGTGCAAAGACATAAAAAAAGGCTTCGCAGGCAGGAAAAGCAGGGGAGGGAGCTGGGCTTTTCATTTGTGCCTTCTTAGAACCAAAGTCCTCTCCATGGATCAAAGGAGACTGAGTTAATTTTTCCTTTAGTGTCCTTAAAGTGCATTTGCTTTTTCAGTTGAACCAACAAAAGATTTTTCATTTCTGAAGCCTAAATTCTAAACCAGTATGCATCCTGGCACATACATGGAGCCCTCCTTAAAATGCCACCGCATGAGTCAGCTCTAGCCTTAATAATGTGAGGCACATCAGTGTCCCTTTTCCACTCAGGAGTCAGGGGGCCCCATGGCCCTACCCCCCAGCCCTGGGTCTCCTAATAGAGGAACAGAGAGGAGATGTCTCAACAGTGTGTGCACGTGGCTGCAGTTCAGAAGAAAAGAATTTAGGCTGGGAAAAATTATGGAGGTAAAGATCGATTGACTGGGCTAATAAAAATTAATATCTTCAGCATACAGATTCTGATAGGCCATGGATTAATGTCCTTCAGATACAGAGCACATTTTGTAAGTCATTAACGAAAGGATAAATATAAGTAGAAACTAGCAAAATGTTCAAGTTCACTGATAAGTAAAAACCTGCAAATTAATGAAATACATGTCATCTGTTAAATTAGCAATATTTGTAACTGTTTTTCTCCCTCCCCTCCCTTCTCCTTTCCAGTGCTGGGGACCAAAGCCAGGGTGGTACTCTTGCTGTGCAAGCTCTCTGCCGCCTGTATCCCCCACTCTTTTTAAGGCTCTATTTTGAGATAGGGTCTCAACATGTGATTCTCCTGCCTTAGTCTCTTGAATAACTGGGGTTCAAGGCTTGTGCTGCCTCCCCTGGCCCGCAGTATTTTAAGGTAATGGATAACATTGGTGGCAGTGCGCAGAAACAGGCGTTTATTTATTTGTTACTGCATTATCACACTGTCGTGTGATATAACCTGTTACAATTTTTTTGGAAGGATGGGGAGAAGAGAGAAATGCATCAAATTCATCAAAAGTTTCACCAAGTATTACCAACTGGACATTCAGGTTTCACTAAATATTATCAGTTGGGCACCTGCGTGATGAAGCTGATTAAATAAACTAAACAACACCCATACAGTGAAATACTGTGAAGTTAGTTGATACAGTGTAGAACACTTGATAATCCAAAAAGCTCTTCATAGTAGATCATTAAGCAAAATAAGCAAGTTTCAAGCAATAGGCATTGTGTGCATGTATTTACAGCAATAGTGGAATTACAGATGATAGTTATTTTAACTAGTAATTTCCTTAGACCAAATTGGAGAACTTTTTAGAATAAACTACTTGTAGAATATGCGAGGCACAGCTTTACAGACTCTTGAATATGCTGTCACTTTTGAGAGTCTCTACTAGGTCATTTGAGACAACTCATAATCGGTCATCCTGTCTAATCTGCTCTGTGTACCATGTCCTCAAGGCAGTTGTTTTCTATGAAATGTGTTGAGATCTGGTTAGGTTTTATCTCAGAAAGGACTGATTGTTTTCATTTTCAGTCTTTCTAGCAACACTAACTAATTGTCTGCAAAGACAGGGATTTGACAACTGTTGACAATATTCCAGAATCTGGGTGGAGAAAGTATCCTCAATAGTGCATCCCAGCGAACCTGTGACCAGAGATATGAAATGAAGACAGTAATTACTTAATTTGAAATCTTTTCCTAGTTTTGATTGCAAACATATATTACTGTATAGCCAGCAAAGCTGTGATTAAAAAAAGAACTGAGAGAAAAGAGAAGCACAGGACAGTGCTGATCCTCAACAGCAGCTTGGCGACACTGAGCTGAACTCGTGCCAAGGGTCTGCAGTGATTCTAATTGCAAGGTTAAGGGAAAAGAGTGCAGACCACTCTTTGAGAGTGCTAGGCTACAAGTGAAAATTATGACTAGGGGCGTAGACTGGTAATAATGGAAGCATTTACTAGTGGGGTTACAGAGCTGGGTTTTAGGTCAGGATGCAAGGTTGCAGTCCTGTCTCCTCGCTACCGAGTTAACCTTGGTCACCATGTATAATTTGGTGGAGATAAACTGTACTTGATAACAGGATATTTAGAAGGACTCAGGGCCTGACACACAGCAATAAGGACATGAAGGGCATCACAGTCATTATTACAGTCGTTACAAAGAATGTATTTGCTCAGCAGACATTCCCCGAGTGTAAATTCTGTGTCAGACACTGTGTCCCGTACTGAGTGTGGAAAGGTCATTTTGACACGGGCTCCAATTCAGAAGGCTCACAGTTTTAGCTGACAGAGAAAACAAACACATGTGACTCACTGTGAAATAATAAGATACGGTGCATAACTTGTGCAGACAGAACTTTTAAAGCTGAAATCATAGCAGAAAATGATACGGCCTCTGTGGCACTTCACGAAGCAAAATGCAATCCTGTATTGTAATGTGCAGATTTTTTTTTTGAAATTACTTTTTAAAATGAGTGCACAAATCACCGAGAGTACACAAATCTTTTATGTACAACTTAGTATATATATCCATGTAACTACCACTCAGTATGAAAATTAGTACAGTTAGAATGTTCCTTTGTACTGTTTCCAAATCAGTGCCTTCCCCTGAGGTGACCACTATTTTGAAGCCAATAGATAAATTTTGTCTTTGGGCTTCATGTAAATGGAATCACATCAGCAGTTCTTAAATTCTTACTGGGCAGAAAAGGGAAATAAGAATAGGATCAAAATATGAATTCCTAAATATTGAATAAGGAAGTTTTACTAACTATGTTAGCCTATCTCTGTGTGCATTCTTTGTGTGCCACACAGGAGATAGAATCTGTAGATCCTGTCTAACCAAAAGTTTTTAAATATGTTTTTGTCTGTACTAAAGATGTATAGACATCTTTTTGGTTGCTAGTTCCTTAAAATATAACGATTTACATGGCATTTACTTCTATTACATAGTATACATAGCCTACAGATGACCTGAAGGATACAGAAAGATGTACATAGGTTACCTATGAGCACTGTACCATTTTCTACAAGGGGCCTAAGCATCTGCAAATTTTGAGGGGTCCTGAGCCATTGTCCATGAATGCTAAAGGATGACTACATCTCCAAATCAGATAACTTTTGCCAAAGTTACACAGAAATTCTAGTAGAACATGATAGAGAAAGGTCATGCTCATTACTGCCAGTTAGAAAGCAGATTCCTCCATAAGTAGCAGTCGCCAGGATGGTACCTTTGGTCACCCCTGCCAGCTGGAGACGAGAGCTGGGGAAATCAGGAAAGAAAGGGGTGGGGCATTAGTTCCCTCCTGATCCAGTCCCAAGAACTTGACCACCAGGAGGACAGAGGCAACATTGGGTGATTGATGAAATAATCTGGACAGGAGTGACAGATTGACTTGAGCTGTTCTCTTTAAACTTCTGTTGGAATTTGCATTATTTCCCCAGTCCTGTAGGTGTGTTAGGGCAAAGAGGTGGGAGGGTGAGCTACACATAGATACACCTAACTGTGCCTGTAGCCCTGTGCCAGCCGAAATATTTACAGAATCATGTTTTTGTCTCTGTTCAGGTTACTGCTTTGGGACTGTGATGATCGAAGCTATAGCTATTATGTCGAAGTTTCTACCAACCAGCAGCAGTGGACCATGGTGGCCGACAGAACAAAAGTCTCCTGCAAGTAAGTCGCACCCTGTCAGCACTTTATTCTAATGGCAAAGGTAGTTCATGGACACACCGATGTGCCTTGGTTGAAAACATATTCCAGTGCTCCTGGAGTTTTAACTATCAAGTACTTACATGAGAATTTACTTGATGGGAACAAGTAATCTTTGTCTTATGCTTTGAACTTGATTCACAGCTCTGAAAATGACAGATGTATCTGAACAGAGAAAAGAAATGGACTTTATGCAGTTCTTTCTTGAATCCTCCCCATGTTGCACACTGCCCTAAAGGAGTTTTTTCCTCCATAGAGAGTTTTGTTGAAGTGATAGTCGGAGGCTCTGACTCCCCCGGCTCTTGTCATTCTTAGGGTTAGCTAAGCATTTATCTCATCTCAGATTTAGCTACCCTTGTTTTAGGTATTTTCCTTACCTAAACCGAGGAAAACCTTGTGCCTTAGGTTCTTCTCAGGCAGACAGATGTGTAATGCATTTGGCCCTGGAGATCAGTTTGAGCCTACCTGCTTGTAGGAACAGGGTTCTGTGGTTTCTCACCAGCTAGAATTAAGGTACTTGAAAAGAACTCAGTGTATTTTTGTATAGAGATAGATTCTCTGTGGGACATGTCAGAACGAATAGCTGAGATTTCTTTTTCTTTTGGAAATGGAGTTAAGATTCTGTGTTAGATTTCCATCACTGTGACAAAACACCTGAGAAAATCAACTTATAAGAGGAGAGATTTGTTTTGGCTCACAATTTCAAGTGCTTCTCTCATGGTCTCTTGGCCTTCTTGCTTTGGGCATGTAGGGGCATGGCCCACCACAGCAGGAGTGTGTGGTAGAGGAGGCCTATTCAAACAAGGCGGCTGCAAAGCAGAGAGAACAGGAAGGAGCCGGGGCCCCAGTGTGCCCTACCAGGGCATCCTCAGTGCCCTGACTTACTCCACTAAGCACTACCTCCTACAGGGTCCAACTTTACCCAGCAGCAGCATGGTCTGGCGACCCAGCTTGCTTTTTCTTTTTTTTTTTTTTTTTTTTGTCTTTTTCCTTTTTATCAGTACCGGGGATCGAACTCACCACTGCCTGCTTGCAAGGCAGGCGCTTATGCCACTGAGCTAAATCCCCAGCCCCCAACCCAGCTTTCATTCAACACTGAGGCCTTTGGCTGGGGTGTGGTGGATTCATATACCATAAATCCATCCTCACAAAGTGTACAGTTTAGCAGTCGTTAGCACACTCAGAGTTATACGACTACTGTTGCAGAATACTTTCACCACCCCCAAGAGATATTTTATCTACATTAGCAGCTCCTCCAACTCCCTCACTTCCCACATCCAGCTATCTACTCCTCAGTGCATGGATTTGCTTATTACAAACATTCATAGAATTGGAATCATATGCTATATGACCTTTTGTTCCTTCTTCCACTTGGAATAACATTTTTGAGGCTTATGCATGAGAATTTCATTCCTTTTTATCTTTGAGTAATATTCTATTGATTGGCCACTTTTTTTTTTTTGTCTTTTTTTTTTTTTTTTTTTTCATTTTTATCGGTACCAGGGATCGAACTCACAACCGCCTGCTTGCAAGGCAGGTGCTTATGCCGCTGAGCTAAATCCCCAGCCCCGATTGGCCACTTTTTAATCCATTCACCAGTTAATATTTGAATTGTTTCCACTTTTTGGCTGTTGTAAATAATGTTGCCATGAACACTTACGTACCTATTTTTATCTGAACATAGTTCTCTTAGTTTTATGCCTTGCACTGTGATTTCCGAGCCATAGGTAACTGTTTCTGAAGTGCTGCCAGACTTTCCATAGCAGCTGTGCCACCCTGCACTCCCTCCTGCACCGTGTGAAGGGGTCCAATTTTCAAATTCTTTCGCCACTTACTACTGTCCATCTCTTTATCATAGCCATCCTGGATATGCCACAGCAGTGGCATAGCACTGTGACTTTGAGCTGCATTTCCCTGGTGGTGATGACGTTGAACATCTTTTCATATGCTTATTTTGCCAAGAATTCTTAACGGGGTTGACGGCTTGTTGGACACAGTGTTTGGCACCATCACCACACCACCATGATCTAGATGATGTGTTGCACTGAGGAAGGTGGCATGGGCTATGGTAGCAAGCGTCGTCAGTGTTTCCATGGCTTAGATTATGAGTGAGTTGTGTTGTGTGACAGGTTGGGTGTTCCTGCTAAGTGGCTCTTCCCCATAGTGACTGAGGGACCTGTGCAGCTTCCTTCCTGTCTTCCCTCCATCATTCAGGGCCTCATCAGTATCATCTGCATCTCTTTGGCAGGTTGGGAAAGAAAAGAGAGACCGCACACTTGGTTCTGGGAAGCACTGGTGCAGGTTTAGCTTGTAGTCTGTGTATTCACAGTCCTCTGGGGACAGTGAGTCACGTTGCCACCTGCCCGGTGCCATGGCTGGGAAATGTCGTCAGTTCCTATCTGCGTAGCCACTTGGCAGCATAAATCTCGTGGTCCTCACTGCCAGGAGTGTAAGATAATGAAGAATTATTTTTTCCTAACTTGTAGTCCAACACTTTTCATGTATTTGATCTCATTTTGTCTGAATACAAAGCCCACTGTGGGATACTAGCCTAATTTTATGAAAAAGAAGATGAAACTCAGAGAGATTAAGTATCTTTTCCAAGGGGCAAAGCTCAGATTTAAGCCAGGGCTCTTTCTGGTGCCCCATGTTGCCTCCTGGTACCTGCAGCACCGCTGAGGAGTGTCCAAGCCAAGCGAGGTGATGATGGGGATAAAGTGCTGTTAATTCCCAGAAACCTGCATCCCTTCAGTGCGGGCAGAGGCTGCAAGGCCCCTCAGCAAACAAGCACCCTGTTTCCTTTCAGAATCCTTGGTTTTCGAGTGTCCAGTCTCACTGGACACTGTGCTGTTTTACAGTGTGCTGTCTCTGGCGCGCCATACCCATTCCTACTGTCGTGTGTGTGTAGTAGAACGGTTTCTTCGCCTCCTTCATTAGATCCTCTCTCAGTGGTTTTGTAATAAGCCACCAATTTTTTTTAGTGTATTTCCATTCATTGATGAGTTTAAATAATTTGCTTGTAACTTAATGTTTTAGCATTTAGATGCTGTAACATATGTAATAAATGTATAAATGACAAATAAATGAAAGCCTGGCATGGTGGCACATGCCAGTAATCCTAGCACTCGGGAAGCTGAGGCAGGAGGATCATTGCAAGTTTGAGACCAGCCTGGCCTACGAAGTGAGCTCAAGGCCAGCCTGAATTGCAGAGAGAGACCCTGTCTCAAAGAGATCAAAAAACAAAACAACAAGCAAATGAATAAACAATACTTTAGAAAACAAGAGTACTAAGAAAGTGACAAATGTCTTTTTACCTTGAAAGAATCAAGGGAACCACAGGTTATGGTCTACATTTTGGGGTAAAACCTGCATGTATTGTACCTCCCGTTTTCAAGGCAGGCCATAGAAGAAGGTATGCGAATGATATAAGAAGAATTTTCTTCTTCACTCTGCACTGCAGAGCAGACCTCCAGAGAAGAGACAGTCAGCTGTGGGAATGTTAGTGGAGTCGGAATCCTGGAATCGCACAGATCTTTAGGGCTCCAGCTCTGCCTTGTGCTAGCATTGTGCCTTGTGGGAAGCTGGAGCAGATTTCTTCTTTTCCCTGAAACATCCTCTGGGAAGGAGCTGTCGCCAGCCTCTCTCAACCTCTCAGCCTCTGGGCTGGCTGGCTGTGGGGGCACGGAGGTTACTTTTCTTTGTAGTGCTCTTGAGTCCTTTCGGCTGGATTCACAGCCTTTTTCAGAAAATCTCACTTTGCAGTCATTGATTCAGTTTCTCTGCTGTTCTCTAAATTGCTGAACCCTAGAGCAGGGTGTGGTGGCTCACACCTGTAATCCTAGCACTAGAGAGGCTGAGGCAGGAGGATCGTTGTGAGTTTGAGACCATCCTGGGCTACAAAGTGGGCTCAAGGTCAGCCTGAACTGCATAGTGAGACCCTGTCTCAAAAAGACGAAAAAAAAATTGTTGAATCCTAAATCTGGTTATTACAATCAGCTTTTAAGTTATAAATATAATTAAAAAATTAAACAATACATAAGCACACTGGGCACTCTGGAGGCTGAGGCAGGAGGATTACCATAAATTCAAGGCCAGCTTGGGTAACATAGTGACTTCAAGGCTAGCCTGGAATTCATGATGAGACCCTGTCTTTAAAAAAAAGCAAGCAAAACATAAAATCTTACCTTGTCACCCTCTGTTCTCAAAGGTGACTATTTTTGATATTTTAAAAAAGAATGTTGTGACTTTTAAACTATAAATAATATTGTATTCCTCTGTCATCTATACTGTGCTTTTTAAAAATGAAAAATTTAGCTGACTTTAACCATTTTTGTTACTTTTTCATTTCAATCCTGTTATTATCTTTTAAAATTAAACAATCTACTTAGACCTCTGATTTTGATCAGTCGTAGATAGAATTTCTTGACTTCCTGCTCTGATGATGAGGAAATTAGCACCACATCGTTCCTCTTTCTGCTTCCCATCTGCTCCTTGTTGTCCAGCCATACTAACATTACAGGGTTTTAGGTTGCTTGTTTTTTGTTCTGTAACTTAAAGTTAAATCTTCCATTTGTTAACTATAAAATGGTCCTCAAAAGGGAAAACCACTGAGAATTGGTTTTAACATTCTGATCATATAAACATTATGCACAACTTATCTAGTAAATGGTTAGATCTTCAGTGAGAGAAAAATTTGTCACTACGCTTGGGCCCTCTGGAAAGAACTGTACTGTGTTCAGCGCAAACAGATGAGATTTTCCTGTGAATGCTCTGGATTATTCCGCATATAAGTGGCTTTGTATTAACCAGCCTTTTGTTTTCCTGAAGTCCCTAACTGCCTCTTTTCCTGCTTCAGCAGCTTCTAATGCTCACAGTTTATTATTGGTTAATTTTGAGAACACTGCTTCCTACACCCACTCTATAGCTGTGATCCTAGAAATTTTTTTCCCTATCTAGGTTGGTAA